GACGTTTTGGGCCTAGACCCTTCTTCAGAAATATCAGAAATGTTGAAAACAAGAAGTGCTGGAAACCACAGCGATTCAGGTAGCATCCACGGAGAGAGAGCAAGCTAATGTTTTGAGTCTAGATAGTTCTTCATCAGCTCTGACACCTTCCTGAAACCACTGCATTAACACGGTGTCCATACACCCACAAAGCTGTTTGGTAGGGAGCTCCAGAGATGTGATATATTTGCAAGTAAGAATGTTCTGTGACTTGCTGGGAAATTTTGTAGGTGCTGGTGTTCCCAGACATTTGCTTATCTGCTCTTTTATGCTGCAGAGGCCCAAAGTTTGGAACACGCTGTTGAAGGAGCCATGGCAAGCTGCTGTAGTGAATCTGTAGTTGACACACTGTGCAGCCACAATGCTGTCTACAGTAGTTTAAGGGGTTGGGTGGGGTGCCATTCAGGCAGGCTGCTTTGTTGTGGATAGTATTAAGATTCTTGAGGGTAATTGGAGCAAGCAACTGAGAAGTATTTCATCACACTCCTGACTGATTCCTAGTAGCTGATGGAAAGTTCCTCAAAATTGTGAAACTCCTTAGCTTGTGAAGTACATTCTTTCCATCATTCACAATTTTTAAAGATTCAACCTCAGTGCCATAATTTTTGGACTTATTGGTAGATAGTCTCTTCCTTGAATCTGAAAGCTTCCTAGATGTCAGGTTAATATTTAAAATTAGCTACATAGCTGCATTCACTGCATGTGAGTGTGTGGTCTAGCATATTGGTCCACCTTTGTACTGACGCATTAAGTGAATATTGAAACTGCTGAACTGAGAAATTCCTTTAGTGCTAATTGGAAGGGTAAAAGGTTCAGCCAACATAACTAAATTTTGGTTATGTTCCACAGAAATGTTTAACCAGATAATGTTTAGCTAACATTATATAGAATTTAAATCATGTCCACAGGTAAACTATAACTTGAATGCCAAACCAAGATACTTCCTTTCTAATACACTGAAATGAGATCTAAAGCTAGTTCTCAGTTTGAGAAGCACTAAAGTTAATTTTTTTCCAAATTATTATGCATGTTCTTTAAATTGACATTGTTAGTATCGCAACCTTTAATATTGCATCATCATTATCACCCAGTTAGTCCAAATGTGTTGCTACCTAATGAATAATAAAATTAAAATATTCCAGATGGGTAGCGTAACTGAACTACTACTATATATTTGAATGGGTCCATAAATGGTAGCTGTAGATTCACAATATGATGCAGGCACGTTCTCCCCTTCCCTCTCCAGTACCTAGTTTGATGTGACTAAAGAAACTTGCTATTATGTTAATTTTAGTTGAACTTGAGGCTACTGATGAACATATCCTTGAAAGCTTTCAATAAGGTCGATGGTAGCAAATGCATTCAGATGTTGTATAACATACATTACAAAAAATATCATTTCTATGGATTTTATTTACTTTTGTTTCTTTCCCTTAAGTCCTAGGGGGTGAATAATTTGTGCTTTTACAAAACATTTCTCAGTCCACTATTTTAACAGATCATTAACATGCATGTTTTATTTCAGGTGGACTTGCTCCTCTGTTAAAGCGAAAATGACATCCAAGTCACTGATCTGTACTACACCAACAGTGGCAGACAAGATCACTTTTTCTCACATTTTATGTTGCAGAATCTTTTCAGGAAGCTATGAAAGCAATTGCTTTGTCATGAAACATTCTATTAAGAAACCAACTGAAACTATGTCACTCACCCATCTACAAATATTTCAACAGCAACCATCAGCAGAAACATTTAGGATTTTCTATTTATCCAGGGATATTTTTCTTTTAAATGGAGGAATCCCCAGTTTGGACAATATTATGGCCAGTACGTATGCAACTATTCATATGACAACCAATGTTCCAATGATATACTGAAAGAGAAAAAATGCTTTCGACACTGGGAGTCAGTACTCACCTTACTTTCTTAAAGCAACACATACACAATTATCCCTTTACATTGCTCTTTGAAGGCACACCCTTAATGGTGCCTTTACCTGTGTTCTGCAGTTTGGCTGCATAGTTTTCAGAATTGCTTTCCTCCACTTTAATCTCTCATATTTCCACACCTACTTACCTCTCTCATATGAAAGTCGTCAACTGACAACTGTATTCCCATTTACGTATGAATTTACTTGAATAATTGCTGCACAACATCCACCAAAGGAAAGCCATTGCCGGGATATTCCTGTCTTCAAATCTTTTATCATCTTCGGTGCAGCTTGTGGGTGTTCACGTTTTTTGTGGAAGCAGGCCATTCAGTCCATCGAGTCACTTGAATTTTGCTGTTGATGGTAAGGCTGTTGGTTTCTTCTAGTGCAAGGTTAGTGACTGAGCATTACACTACTTTGAAGTACCACATACACAAGAAGTGAAGGAGGATGCAGGTCTACTTGCAATCAGAAATGCAGAGAAGGCCACATAGGGCTTTAGAGTTTCGATTGAGGAACTTTATACCCATGAGTGATTTATGAGGATATATTCTTAAGATACCTGATAATGATTACCTGATAATGAGCTAACCTGTTTAATACTGCTGTCTCTTAGAATGTGCTAAGCTTCGAGCTGTCTCCAATGAGAGAAACATGAGTGAAAGATGGGAGGTGATGGCATGCTGCCCAGGAACAAGATCCAATGATATAGCCAGCAACAGTTCCACTGCAGGAGTAAACTGCCATCTCAGACCACAACAGTACAGTACAAGGAGCTAGCTATTTCCTGAGATCATAGCCCTCACGTGACACTTGGAAGAAGCTCTAGCATAATGATAGATATTTAGATATGCATGGGAGCATGGTGTTTGCAAATACAAAGATTACCAATGGATTATTAAATTAAAGTGGATTGTGCACTTATGTTTTATTTTATTATTCATGGAGATGACAGCCATACAGGAAAAATAGTTTACATTTCATGCTAACATCTTCAAGCAAGTGAAGATTATTAGCATAATTATTTTGGGTCAAAGAAAGTTGATGTATTGTCATGTAGTAGGAAATGTGTTGGTTGGGTGAGAGAATTGTTTCCTTTGCAAATGGAGGAACAGGTGATTAAGCCATGTCATCCATGTAGGCAAAATCACATGGAGACAACTTCAGCAATTACTTGCCTTGTTATATACTTGCAGCCGTCAGCAATGACTTCACTAACTGAATGTCATCCTGAAATTCTGCCCTTCGGCCAATGCCTCCTTCTCAGCCATCTTAAACTCAGTCCTTTTTTGATTGGTAAGATTGTGAAGAATGCAGAATGGTACCACAATTTTAGAGAACCTCATTGATGCACGCTACAAAATAACTAGCAGCAAAAATGGACATTCAACAACCTGTCAATCAATAGCTGGTAGGTTCACATGCCATGTCATGTCTGTCCTCTGCTTCTATTCAGAGTAGCTGGTGTGAGGTCTTTATGAATACTATGGTAGCATTGGATAGTATTCCTTTGTCTGGACAGTTATAGATTCTGGATGTTCCTTTGAAAGCTTAAGAGAAAGCTTAGTGAAAGATGATGAAGCCAGGGCAAAGACATGAAAGATCTTCAGATTGGTGTCACAAACTATCTGTACATTCATTACGGTATACATTTCATTTAGAGAATTGTTTGTGAGATCTTCAATGTGAATTGGATTCAATCAATGACGTGCTGTACTTTGGGGAAGCCAGAGTTCTACAGGAATTTGTGGTCCTTTTACTTTGGCATCTTTATCAGAAAACAAAGTGTGTGGCATTCAAATTGATGGTGATGATAAAACAAACAACATTAAATAGAGGCTACCAAATACAATTATCCTTTTACACTGCCGCCTAAGACAAACCTCAGACACTGAGGCCTGAGGTTTTACTTTTAGTTAGGAGGTGGGGTTCCACTCACCTACTTTGTAAAAGTTGTAGGCAACATGGCTGGCTCACTCTGCAGTCATTTGATGGCTATCAGGCCATTTATTGGCTTGAAGTGAGACTTTTGCTAACACTGGAGAGAAAATCCAAACTCCAAAAGCTGCCGCACACTCTCTAGTCCCAGCACGTCAACAGTAGCAATGGCCACTGCTCGATATTTGAGCTGGGATGGAGCTGGACTTGAATATGGGGTCACATCAGGATGCAGATGGCAGAGCTCTGTAGTGATTAGGGCAGATATGGAAGGGAAATGAGGAGGTGGGCTACTTGTGTGGGGAGGCGCAACAGAAGAGATGTGCGCCCACTGCCTGTCACTATTCCATTAGGTTTCAGTTTGCAGGTTGAAAATTAGGCAGCCGTCTCCTGCACCATGGTTAAAATCCCAGTTGGGTGGGAGAAACCTTTAAGGGCATGCAGGCTGCCCAAGGCTTCCTTCCCCTGATGCTGGTAAAATTGCAGCAGATTGGATAGGGGGCAGATAAGCACTAAGGATGGGATTGTTGCATAAAACCCAATTTTACAACAATCCCACCTTCCTGCTGAAACAAAAATCCTACAGCAGTCTAGTTAGAAATCCCAAAACAAGACAGTCTGTCTCTGATAAAAAAATTTCAGGTCTAACAGAAAAATAACCTTGAATTCACATTTAATTCATCCGATCATTAAGAACAGGACTATCCTCACTACAAACACTATTGGGAGTATTCTTCTATGTTTATCTCAAGCAACCCAGGCTAACCACTCCCAGTGCAATCAAATTATACAAGTTACTCAGAAGGGTCATGCACATTTGTTAAGTTGTTTCACAGAGCAACCTAAATTTTTGCAGCCATTTCAGAAACATTTTAACTTCAGTCCTCAAAGCTTGTGAATTTCTCCATAAAACTTTCTTAAAGTGAACAAACTCAATGTTTGTAAATGTCCATCTGTAAATTCTTTAGACCACTTTGTGAAAGAGTTCCAGAGAGGGTTTCCATGTTTGGACTTGAGAGCCTTCATGTCATAACAGATCACTGTGATATAGCTGAAGATCAAATTGTATCTGTGTTTCATGTTTTAGTTTCTAGTTCACTGGCCTGTGTGTTGTGTAGCTGTAATCTTCAAAAGCTACATCAAGCAATAAATAAGGTGAAATGACAATGAATCCTGGACAGTGAGGCTATATTCTCCAATCTCCATTAGTAGCACTGAGGTGAGTGCTGAATTCATGACTTTTCTTTCTGTTTAATTGTCTGACATAGGACCAGTTTTCAGGCAAAGCTCACTTTTTGAATATAGGCCCCAACTTAGGTATAAATAATGCAGTCATACAAATACAGGAACTTTAATATGCAAACTATCTAAATGTATTTTTGAGTTACAAGGTACAACACAGATCATGTAGAATAAATTAAATATGAGTGAATGGAAAGTAAAGTTGAAACCATAGAAACAAAACAAAAAGTGGAGAAAAAAGTGGCCAAGAATGATTAACTGAGCAGAAGTGTTTTAAGTGTCCATTTAAGCAGGCGAGAATTAATATTAATTTAATAAATCTTGTCTTAATAGTTTAGTTTCCTATACTACCAGCTATCCTACCAAAAACCAGCATTGACTGAAGATGGCAAATCCTTGAAAGTACACCTTCTGACCTTATGCATGCATTTTAGGGGATTCCAAACAATTTGTCCATTTTTCACATTCAGCATTGCAAGGCCTCAGGGCCAATGCAGACAAAAATATCTGCAAATCTGAAAAACGGACAGGTACAATCATCCCTATCAATCATGACTATAATCAAGAAAATGAACATCATTCTTAATGATGGGTCCTTTTTTGGATGCATCGGACTTGCTTTTCAGCATGACCAGACAGCCTTACTCAAAAATAAGAAAGAACTGCGGATGCTGTAAATCAGGAACAAAAACAAAAGTTGCTGGAAAAGTTCAGCAGGCCTGGAAGCATCTGTGAAGAAAAAAATCAGAGTTATCGTTTCGGGTCCGGTGACCCTTCATCAGTTCTGGGGAAGGGTCACTGGGTCCGAAACGTTAACTCTGTTTTTTTCTTCACAGATGCTGCCAGACCTGCTGAGCTGTACCAGCAACTTCCGCCTTGCTCAAAAGCCAGCTGAAAAAAAGCGCTTTCTATACAGGAACAACAAGCGGCTGGGTGATTTATGTAATGGGGTTCATTCTCATGTATGCATACCCAAGGCACTCAAAAGTGACAACCCATTATGCCCTATCTTATCCATGCTTCAGCATGATAGCAAATGGCCAAATGTTTGGGTGAATTGCTACAGTCAGTTTTGAGCAAGATTTCCACATACTGGGTGAAGCATCTTTTCCTGTTTGTGAAGACTACACAGGATATGCATATCAACAGCAAAGCACTGTTGATGTGCTCTATTGAAAATGCTAGCCTGTTTTCAAACTTGGCAACTAATTTACAGTTGTCAGTCAGGTTTGCATGGTGGTGCACTTACACTACTGAAAGTTATCTCATTACAGGTCCTGCCATTTGCAAGTAGAAAGAACATGTACACATATTTTGAACTTAACAAAACTTTCAATATACCTTGCAGAGTAATCTGAGACATCTAAGCTCATTCATGAATTTGTATGATATGAACTTGGTATTTCTAACCATAAAAGGTGGGAAAATATCAAAGCAAAAGTTGAAATGCTCCACCTTGAGGGTAGAAGGTGGGAAAATCCTGAAATAAGTGGGTAGTCGCCACTCATATTGTTAAAAAGGTGTGGGAAACTCTGAAAATTGTGAGAAAACCAAGTACGGAGTGGAAAGATACAATATTGCAAAGGAAGTATTAAAGATTTTGAACATATTAAATCATTACAGAACAGGCCAGTCAGTACAATTTATAGATTTATTGAAACAAACAATACAGTCAAACAGCAATACAGAGTTTAAAAAAAATACATTGGGGAAAAATAGTCTGGAAGCAAAATGGCAGCAGAGTACGACGCTTTAGCCAGATCTCATCCACTCTGCCCATTCTTCTTCTTTTTCCTCTCTTTAATTCCCCCTTTGTGGTTTTTCCTTCTTCTCTCCCGCCCTCCGATGACCCTGGCCTCTGTTGACTCCCGGCCTCTGGTTGACTCCCGACCTCAGCGCAGACATGACGAGGATCCTCCTAGCTTGGCAGAGAGGCCTCCCAGCCTGGCGTAGTGGCCTCCCACCGTGGTGTGGCAGCCCCCCCGGCACATGGTGTCCTCTCAGCCCGGCATGGCCTCAGCCTGGTCTCCCAGTCTTGAGGCAATACCGGAATGATCCCCCAGCCTTGTGATCCTCAAGGTGAAGCCCAGTGCATACTGGAGGCTAGTTGCTAGCATGGTCTCAGTTGGGAAGACTACTGGACTGGACTTCTATTTCTGCAATGCTGGACATCTTATTTCTCTGTTTTCTTAAGATCTTGGAACTGAAGAAGCTATACCTTGGTAGCTTTTTACCTAAGATAGCGCTGTAAGTGGCGACATATAAACTTTTCACTGTACTCTTTTGAGTACTCATGACAATAAAGGTAATTCAGTTCAATTCAACACAATAAAAGGAATGCTACAGAATCTAGCAACCACTACACTCATTCCATTTAATTCATGTACATTTTTTTTCTTTATTCATTCATGGGATGTGGGCATCGCTGGTTAGGCAGCATTTATTTCCCATCCCTAATTGCCCAGAGGGCAGTTAAGAGTCAACCACATTGCTGTGGGTCTGGAGTCACATGTAGGCCAGACTAGGTAAGGATAGCAGTTTCCTTCCCTCAAGGACATTAGTGAACCAGATGGGTTTTTCCTCAACAATCGACAATGAATTCATGATCATCATTAGACTCTTAATTCCAGATATTTATTGAATTCAAATTCCACCATCTGCCATGGCAGGATTCAAACCCTGGTCCCCAGAACATTATCTGGGTCTCTGGATTAACAGTCCAGCGATAATACCACTAGGC